AACGCGTTTCACAACTTGTCTTTTATTTAGTTTTACGCTGCATTCAAGATGGCGGCCCCCATATAGTAAATATCGTATTTATTTATTATCACGTGTGCGCCAGCTGACTGTGGATGTATATAAACCCCAAACTAATTAAATTGTTGCATCGTCTTAGAGTATTTATGTGCCAAGATTCATTGAAATAAGACGATAAGTAATTGATTGAAAAGCTGAAAACTGACTAATTATTATGCAAATCAGGTGAAGAATCACTCGTTATGCGTGAAATCGAACGTAAATACAGGACAAACAAATGTCATAGCATCGTCGTAGTGGAGTCAAACATCGCGTGGGATTCGACAAACGCGAAAGTATTTTGGGGGACATTTCCATGCTTAATAATGTGCTGTGTCCACATTTGATGATAGGCAATTTCGATTAAGTAAAGGTATTCAGAAGCAATAATATTCCACTGTGAGCTACGAAATAAAGAAATTCAAGTTCAAAATCAAATCGTTCGATTTTTGTTGCAGACATTCGACGCGTGTCTTTCATGCATCTCGCGAGATCTCGCAATTGTACAGAAAATCACCTATTGCACAATGTACTAAATTTTATTGAAATGTGATTAGAACCTGAGATATTGATGGGAAAGCCAAAACAATTTGAATTATTATGCAAACTAGGTAATTCATATGCATGTAGATTTAAACCCAAACTAAACAGGTATGTGCATGTCCTAGAGCATCCATGTACCAAGTTTCATTAAAATGTGATGATTAGTACTTGAGATGTCAGTGAAAATTCCAAAAAACATGACTAATAAACCGAATGAATATTAGGTTATTACTGTGTATTGATTTTTACCCAAAACTAATAAAGTCTGTGTATTGTCCCAGAGCATCTATGCACCAGGTTTCATCAAAATCCAATGAGTGGTTCTTTAGATATCAGTGGAAGAGTCGTGGAAGAGCTGAAAATTAGCTAATTATCATGCAAATTTGATAATTAATAATCAGCTCAAAGAATCTATGCAACAAGTTTCATCAAAAACCAAATTACAATTCTTGAGATATTAGTGGAACAGTCGGACACACACACACACACACACACACACAGGGTTCAAAAAGCTAAAAGTCATTTGCTGGTGCTACTAAAATATTTTTGCTGTCGTCGTCCGCAGTAGTGATATGATTTCACATACAGTGATTGAGAACCATAAATTTAGACATGTTACATCAAAATGAACATTACCGGCATATACAGCTATCATCATGAGTGATGTGTTTCCATTGCTTTGTTCTATTATCACTATCCACTATATACAATATTTCAATTGACATATCCAAATCCTTTCTGAACAGAACATGTGTATAATCATCAAAAAACATTCTTGCTATGTTTCTAGACACACAACCGACTAAAAAAGAAACTGTCCCATCCAAACGTCCCGCGTCGTTGAAAATTGACTCTTATCGCTCTTGTGTTTCCGAGCCCAAAACGGCCAATTTTTGACGAATTTTCTATGATTTTTTGATACATAATATATC